TAATATGCGCCTTTCACTTTGTGTACGGTACCCATTGAACCCAAGAACCATTCTATTCACGTTCATGGGGGATTTGCATAGTGCCGTTTCAACACAATATATGAAAATTCAAGCAAACTTTTCCCCTTTTTATTTATTTTTTTTTTTTAAGAAGAAAAAAAAAAAAAAAAATCAATGGTTTCTATGAAAAAAGTTTTGGCAAATTTCAAAACGGTAGAATGTTCTCAATTAGGATTAAGCTGGGGTGCATCAGGGTTTAAATTGCGGATCAAGTGATTGTGGGATTTTCATTTTTGGATTTCATACTAAAATTATAGTTGTCTTGTGAATGAATTAAGTGTGTAAACCGTTTAATATTTCTCAATCGATTGTTTGTTTTTGTTTTTTAAATTGATTTGGCTGTAATTATGGAACAATTAATAAATCATATGTATAATTAATTTAATTAGAGATGCGATAATATAATTAATAATAATAATAATAATAATAACGATTATAATAATATACAGTATATTCAGTATATGTGTGAAGTATATAATTGATAAATTTATCAATAGTACTGTAATTATAATGATAAAGTTTCATAGTTTAAAATTTTACCAGTATATTAGAATTTAAAAAAATAAATAAATGATTGCGAAATTTGAATTCCAATGTTATATACGTATAGCCGTTTATTAAGAATAAATTTTTAAAACAAAACCAGTGTTTTATTTACTTCTAAACATTTCACGTGTTAGATAATACGCAGGTCAACTTTATTTTCCCCAGATAAAATATTACATTTCTATAGAGTACACAGATTAAACTTTACTGATACATTCAAAAAAAACAAAGCAAAACTGTTATTACATTTGATCGAGAAAGAAGAAATCCCGTATTTGCAGATAATTACGTGATTATTTTAATAAAAAGAAATTAATCATGTTTCGGCTTTACAGATTCATAGCAAGTAGTGTATACCGTAGTTGGCACTATCTTGGTGGTGTAATCAGTAACAACTTTGGTTGTCTTCTCGGTGCAAGTGCTGTATACGGTGGTTGGTACTACCTTGGTGGTGTAGTCAACTACAACTTTGGTTGTCTTCTCAGTGCAAGTGCTGTATACGGTGGTTGGTACTACCTTGGTGGTGTAATCGACTACAACTTTGGTTGTCTTCTCGGTGCAAGTACTGAATACGGTGGTTGGGTCGTATTTAGTTACCTTTACGGTGGTTGGTACAGTGCAAGTACTGTATACGGTGGTTGGTACTGTGCAAGTACTGAATACGGTGGTTGGGTCGTATTTAGTTACTTTTACGGTGGTTGGTACTGTGCAAGTACTGTATACGGTGGTTGGTACTGTACAAGTGCTGAATACGGTGGTTGGGTCGTATTTAGTTACTTTTACGGTGGTTGGTACTGTGCAAGTGCTGTATACGGTGGTTGGTACTGTACAAGTGCTAAATACGGTGGTTGGGTCGTATTTAGTTACCTTTACGGTGGTTGGTACTGTGCAAGTGCTGAATACGGTGGTTGGTACTGTGCAAGTGCTGAATACGGTGGTTGGTACTGTGCAAGTGCTGAATACGGTGGTTGGGTCGTATTTAGTTATCTTTTCATTTACGGTGGTTGGTACTACGCAAGTACTGAATGAAGTGACGACTGCTGGTACGGTGGTGGTTGTCTTCACGGTACAAATATCGTACGTAGTGGTCGTTGCAGTGACTGTCTTATAGACGACTTTCTTAGAGTACTCAATATGCTTCGGGTGCTTTGGATGCTTTGGATGCTTCTCATGGTGAGGGGGGTATGTGTGATGGGGAGGGGGAGGGGGAGGGGGATTGGTAGGGGGAGGGGGAGGGGGATGACTCGAGGAACAACTAGTGACTTCATGACCACGCTTCTCGATATTTTCATTATGGGGAGCTGCGCCAACGAACGCGGCGAGAAACAAAAAGAGCAAAACCTTGGTTGAGTGCATTATCTTAATTTTTCAAAGAAAATATTTTTTTTGTTCGTCAAATGTATTACAATTTTCGTAAGGACGGAAAATCGTGAGGAGCAAGCTAGGACTCAAGGCATTCGTATTTATAACAAAATTCTACCCAGTGTTACTTACTTCTATTTTTAGTGCGCCAAGCACGAAGAGATTCCTATTGATAAGGCGTTTTTTTTTTGTTGCTGTTGCTATATTTTTTGTCTTCATTGTAATGTCAAACATAAAAAATTAGTACTGCGTCATTAATTCGTATTAATTCGTATCGCGAAAAGAGTGAGGATAATGTGTATCACGAAAGAGAATTGAAACTATGAGAATCAATTATCCTCAAAGTTTGTTTCGAAGAGAAGATGGCAAAGGAGAATGATATACAGCTGGCATAATACAGTAACTCTGCGTCTCCGTTACATTGGCCGCGAATGCAATGCAATATTACGCCCTTGACGGGATGGTTGCTTTGAGAAACGAAAGACATAAGTACAAGGTTGTGCGGAGTGATAAGTTAGGAAATTACTTAATTATGCAACTTATGCTAATTAGTGATAGTTAGCTTGGATACTCGAAAGTCTTTTTCTTTGTTTAGCTCGCGGTGTAGTTATAAAACTCGTTTTTTTTTTGTTTATAATTAAATTATGGTTGGACGTTGCAAAACAGTACCTGCCTTTGGTGAGTGACGGATTTATTGGTCAAAATTTTTTGCATCTACTGTATATGCTTTCTTTTTTTTTCTTGATACATTAATGATGACAAAAACGAACCTTATCTATTCATCGCGAAAGAACCTACCGTGTTACCCTATGTGTTACCCTATAAACCATCATCCAATTAAACCATTCCCTTTTTCGGACGATAGTTTGGTTTCCCCGTTTATCTAAATATAGGTTGTGTAGATATTTTAATGACGTAAGCATTCATTGAGGGCTCCCGTGGTGCAACATTTGCAAATAATTTTCACACAATTTGGGGTGATCAATTCAATAAGGCTACAATAAGCTGAATAACTTTGAATTATATTGGCCAGGTGAATTACGATGGACAAAGAGCATCAATGAATTTATAAATAACAGAATCCGATGAATCGTCTGATTCTAAGAACTCTAATTGTTATAAATTTAGATCAAAGCGAACCTGAAAACGCCACAATTCTCTCTGAATTAATTTTCGGTGTTTTTTTTTTGGAATCCTACGCAGGAGTATCGCATGAAGAATGCAAGCAACAATTCGATTTAGGCTTCGTTCGATTTTGTGTACAGTTTCATCCGCGCCGAAGAAAACACAAGAATGAGACGTGTGTCAATTTGCACAATAGTGACTGGAGATAAGAAATATCATAAATAAATGATTGTAATTTTCTATAAGAAAAAATTTGTATCACTTTCTTGATGCATTATTTTTTTTTCTCCTACTTATCACGAGGTGTTTTCCTGTATAACGTATCATCCATGCGTTTCTATCTCGATTTTTTTTTTTTTTTTTAATCAGTTCTTTTTCGGTGTCACTCACAAATTTCTCGTAGAACCTCACTAAAAAAACAAGATGCCATGTCTATTTCGCATACAAGAAATTTAAAAGACCAACTATTGAACTTCCTTGTAATGTTAATAACGATTATTATCGCTTTGAGCCCTGGTTTATCATAATCAAGAATACGCGAAGGTTTAAAAACCATGAGAGATGAAATCTTGATATTTTTATATACTGCATTTGCTTTTTTTAGATGAGCATATGGTTAAGTACACAAATTACGCCATCTTCAATCGAGGTTACAGATCGACGATGCTTTCTTTTTTTCTTTCTTTTTTCAAAAAATTTTTTTAATTAATGAATTCTGTATTTTTTAAGAAGTACATCGAATGTCATTATGATAATCAAAAATATCGATTTAATTAATGCAATTTCTTTTTCAAAAATATCGGGTAACTGATTTTTAAATCTTATCTTGTACTAGATTTTATATACGGCAATTGATTAAATAATTCCAAATTATATATTTTTAAAAAGTCATGATTGCTTTTGTAAATTCATATTAAATATTGATATAAATATAAATGACAAAAAAATTTTTAATGTATACTGTATATTATACATGCTGTATATTATTCTTGTAAAAATTAATACTTGTACATTTTCCATTACTCTTGAAATTGAATCCAATATGAATAAATAAAGTTAGTCTTTACTATGCATATCATACCCCATATAGGTTCAAGTCCTAAAGTCAGGCCAAAGCCTGACCCTCTGTCAAATATTTGAGCAAGATATTTCTGGCACCATTTATGTCCCTATCCATCTCCACTTCATATGAATCTAAGGATTCTAACAATTCTCTTCAATTCTATATTCAATTCTCAAGTTTATATTAAATTTAATAGGTGGAATATACCCCACTATCATTTTTAATAGTGTTCCGAACCTCATACGATTCCCTGTAATTCTGTTTGATTCCAATTTTCAAAACCATACACGAATCACATTTGAATGTTTTTAATCTTCCAAGATCATTCTTCACGAATCCACAACATCCACATGTCTTGAACATATATTCCTTGGTGCACTTAATGATCTTGCAAATGCAGAACTCTCTTGCCTTATGTTGTAAGAACATTTGGAACCTTGCATGAGCAGTCTTCGACTGAATTTTTCTTTTATTCTTTAAAACCATTCTTGAAGATTCAAATTTAGGCAACAAGATGATCTTGTAATTCATGCACAACCATTTTGTAAGCTGGGGATAGCACTTATCTATTAAATGACAGATTCGTTATATAACTCCAATATTTTTTTTTTAATCTAAATCTTTTTTTCTTGTTTGTTCGTCCTAACGCAAGATCCTTGTCACTCTGTAATTTGGTATATTTCTTGGATAGTTTAAATATTTTGTTAAGATTACCATTACCCCACTCGATTAATTGACCATCAGGATTGTAACCAGTTATAAACATGCAAACACCTGGATCAAATGAGATTACCTTTTCTAGAACATTATCTTGGTTATTAATAATATCTAAAGGAACAGAAACACACAAGTAAAATGTTTTAGATGATTCATTTATAAAGTTTGAAAAATTTCTGTCTACCTTCAAAAAAAATTAGTCATATTTGAATTCAAATTCAGGAATATTTGAATCATTCGAGTTGATTTAGCTCAAATTGCATAGTACCTCTTGTCATAAATACTTGGATAATTATTTTCAAAGGTAAACAGAGATTTTCTATAATTGTAATTCTAAAATTTGCACTATATATGTATTGTTAAAGATAGGTGTCAAAAAATCAAACTCCCTGTCCACTTTCAAAAATAATTAAATATATTTGACAAAAGAATATTGAATTATCAACAATAATGTAATTGATAATCAAAATAATATAAAGTACTTACTATAATTAAAAATAACAATCAGTAAAATAAATAGCTAATAGATATTTAATTATTAATATTGCATTGTTTACTAACTATATATTATTTTTGTAATATAATTATTATATGATTTTAATCATTTCATTTTTTTTTTCTAATTTACTTTTATAAAAGTTTAAATATATCACAACAGTTTAAACAATAAGTTATATTTTAATAATAATAAAAAAAAAAATTATAAAAAGATGTAAGTTTAAGAAAGATAATTATTTTATTAACTTAAAAACAAAAGTATAATCTAAATATTATAATTGTTAAAAAAACATAACATTATATACTGTATATTTATTTATAATTTATCAAAATCAAAACAAAATGATTATTTTTACAAAATCTTACAGAATATTAACAATTCTTTTGTTTAATAATTATCTTATAAATGATTTATTTCTATTACAAATATTATTTTTAATTTTATTTAAATAATATTAATATAATTATTTCTATATTCTTTAATATACTTCTATATAAAAACATATAAACTAATATAAATATAAAAATTAATAATCATTCTTTTCCAATCTAATCAATTGAAATTTTGAAATTCCTTTCTACTTTTTAATTTCTTAATATATTTGATATCTAAGATAACATATTTTTTAAAAAGTAAAAAAAAATTTTTTAAAGCTTTGTAAAAAACTTAATTAATATAACAAGATTATTAAAACTGTATTTAATTATTCTTGAAAATTAAAAATAACAACTGATTTTTTCAAAACTTTTTTTTAAAAATATCTTCTTGAAAATTAAAAAAAAATTCTATTTAAATTATTGTCAAATTAATAATTTAAATTATATTATAAAAACAATTAAAAACAAAATTAAAAAAATATTTAACAAGATATTTTTTATATCACAAAAATTTTTTTCTCAATATTGACAAGTTGCTTCTTAATTTCTAAAATATGAATTTGATTTTTTCTAGATTCTTCTTTTAAAAAAATTAACTATTAAAAAATATCAAATCTATAAAAAAATTATTTAAAAAACATATTCAATCTGTTTAAAAATTTTAAAAATATATTAATAACAAATAATTATATTAGCAAGATTGTAAGCAGTTTCAAAATATTTTATAATTTTGATTTTCTGCCTATCTTATACTATATAAAAAATCTGATTTATTAAGTAATATAGAAAATTACAATTTAAAAACTGAAAAAAATTTTTTAACAAAGAAATATAAATTTTTTAATTTAAAATATTATATTAAAAAAGTTATAAAATTTTATTATAT